TTGATCCTGGCCTCACCTGTGTGCCTCATGTCCAATCTGTTGCTAAAACCTGTATATTCCAGCTTAAAAACATTGGCCGCTACCTTTCTTACGCAAGATGTTACCAAGGAGCTTGTTCATGCTCTAATAATTTTTCACATGGATTACTGTAATTCTCTCCTACTTCATCGCCCCAGAAGCCGTACTACCCCCCTACAATCTGTGATGAATGCTGCTGATCTTTCTCTCCTGTTGCTCCTCTCACACCTCACCCCTCTGTCGATCCTTACACTGGCTTCCTGTACCCTACAGGTGTCAATTTAAAATACTAACCCTTACCTATAAAGCTCCAACCAACTCTGGCCCCTCTTACATTTCTTCACTGGTTCTTGGTCTCTCCGCTCTTGCTCTCTCTTAAAGGGCCACTGTCCACACTCACCTTCAGTTCTGCTACTTTCCCACCATGTCTATTTGCTGTCTACCTCAATGCTCTTCCTATGGTGTTTTTATACCCCACCTCCTCTAGACTGTCAGCTCGTTTGAGCAGGGTCCTCAACTACCTATTGTTCCTGTTACATTTTGTTATTGTCTCATTTGGTAAATTCCCCCCTTATGGTAAAGCGCTGCGGAATAAGCTGGCGCTATATAAATACCTATAATAAAATAAAAAATAGTTGCCATCTGGGAAACTCTAGCTCATTCATCATACATACAGTGCTGTTATTGCCATAACATTTTATAGGTAATACCATTCCATTGTAATATTGTTCATGCTTAGTTAATAGAGAATGTATATTTTAACCCCTTAAGACCGGAGGGCGTACTATTACGCCCTATTTTAGGCGGCTCTAAAGGCCGCCGGGCGTAATAGTACGCCCTCCGGTCTTTTCTTACTTACCCGGTCGCCGGCGGTCGGGACTCCCAGGGAGCACCCCGCAGCACGTCCATCCCCCTGGAAGCCCCCCTGGCCATGTGAGAGTGAGGTCCTTGCGAGGACCTCACAGTCACATGGCCGGGATAGCTGGCTGCAGCATTGCCAGCAGGGGTGCTGCCTGTAATGACAGGTGATCCCCCTGCTGGCTGTAAATAAAATTAAATAAAAGTTAAAAGTGTAAAAAAAAAATAATCTATACTTAGATCATATATATACATATTAAATTTTTTTATATTATATATAAATATATATATAACAATAATTATATATATATTTAATCAGTATCAGTCTACATGTAATTTGATATTAATATATATATAATTATATATATATTAATAGTAAAATACACCTAGACAGTGTACGTGTGTGTGTGTGTGTGTATATATATATATATATATATATATATATATATATATATATATATATATATATATATATATACACACACACGTACACTGTCTAGGTGTATTTTACTATTAATATATATATATAATTATATATATATATTAATATCAAATTACATGTAGACTGATACTGATTAAATATATATATAATTATTGTTATATATATATATTTATATATAATATAAAAAAATTTAATATGTAAATACGTTAAATAAAATCAATAATTAAAAATATATAGATGTGTGTTATTTCGTTCTAACTGTATTGTGATATTAATATATATATATATTTATATCAAAATACATGTAGAACGAAATAATATATATATCTATATACATAAATATATATACCAATAGAAAGTGATCAGCACTCACGGATTTCCAAAAGTTTGATTAAAAAATGAAATTTATTAATCCATGTGTTTAAAAAAGCTGTTTCGACGTTTCAGTCCTCGTTTGGGACTTTCTTCATAAATATATACGTATATATCACTATATATATATATATATATATATATATATATATATATATATATATATATATATATATATATATATATATATATATATATATATATACCTACCTATATATATAAATAAAAATATTTTAAAAAAATTATATATATATACATATATATTCACATACGTATATATATATATACATATATTAATTCTACATATATATTTATGTAATAATTTTATATAATTGGGTATCTTAATTAATTACAATTAGCGGGACCTGCCTGACAACCCATGCCGAAAGTAAAGGGAATTTAATTTGCTAGCACTATATTTAACCCTATAACTTTCCAAGACTCCATAAAACCTGTACATGGGGGGTACTGTTCTATTCGGGGGACTTTGCTGAACACAAATATTAGTGTTTCAAAACAGTAAAATGTATTACAACGATGATATCGCCAGTAAAAGTGACTTTTTTGCATTTTTCACGCACAAACAGCACTTACACGGACGATATTATTCCTGCGATACTTTTTACTGTTTTGAAACACAAATATTTGTGTTCAGCGAAGTCTCCCGAGTACAACAGTACCCCTCATGTACAGGTTTTATGGGGTTTTCAAAAGTTACAGCATCAAATATAAGGCTTGCATTTCATTTTTTTCACATTAAAATTCGCCAGATTGGTTACGTTGCCTTTGAGACCCTATGGTAGCCCAAGAATGAAAATTACCCCTATGATGGCATACCATTTGCAAAAGAAGACAACCCAAGGTATTGCAAACGGGGTATGTCCAGTCTTTTTTAGTAGCCACTTAGTCACAAACACTGGCCAAAATTGGCGTTTTTTGCATTTTTCACACACAAACAAATACTAACGCTAACTTTGGCCAGTGTTTGTGACCAAATGGCTACTAAAAAAGACTGGACATACCCCATTTGCAATACCTTGGGTTGTCTACTATTGCAAATGGTATGCCATTATGGGTGTAAATTTCATTCCTGGGCTACTATAAAGTCCCAAAGGCAATGTAACCAATCTGGTG